GCTGATGTTTTTATATGATGATGTCTAAAGAGAAGGGGACCACAGCAGCAGAGACTGGCATGGTGGTTCTGCAAGCTGTGGATGGCAAGAATTGGTGATGGCCAATCAGAAGCTGGAAGACTTGAAGAAGGATTCTGGCCAGAGTCTGGAAAGGAACACAGTCCTACAGACACTTTCAGGGTTGTTAGGAAATGCACTTCTGTAATTGGAAACCAACTTCTCTGGACTGTGTGGTCAAGACGGCCCAGGGGAGGAGCAGGGCCCTCCCACCCTCTCTCTCATATCTTAGAAGGGCTTGTTTTTCTTCTGCTGTTACTGCCCTGTTTACTTTCCTTAACGCTGCGGTCAGGTGCTTGACAACTTGCAGGTTATTTCTGCTTACAGTTTAAGAGGACACGGTGGGAGACAGCATGGCGGCACAGTGAGGGCAGCTGGTCACAATGCTTCTGCAGTCAGGAAACTGACTGAGCTGCGTGGGGAGTGAAGCTTAGCTAAAAAATCAGGGCCTGTGACCCACTTCCTTCATCTAGTCCTCACCTCAAGGCACACTCCTCCATAGCTGGGGAGCTAAGCGTGCAGACACAGAGTCCTTGGAGCATATTCCAGGGGAGCTAGGCGTGCAGACACAGAGTCCTTGGATCATATTCCACATTTAAACTGACTTCCCATTTGCTTCACAAGGGTCAAAATGTATCCTTCCAAAATGCACCTTGAATCCTTAACTCCTGCAAATATGTCTATATTTGAAAATAGTCTTGCAGATGTCACCAAGTCAATATGAAGCCGTCACTTTGGTCCTTCATTCAACATGACTGGTGTCTTTACAAGGTCATCTGGAGACACACACAGCGAGTATACCATGTGATGCCAGAGGCAGAGGCAGAGGCTGGAGCAGCAGAGCTACAAGTCAAGGATGCCAAGGACTGGCAGCCTCCACCAGAAACTTGCTGGGGGATGTCCTTCTGGATGCTGTGAATATACACTTCTCTTTATTGGTGATGAATAAAACTGTTTTGGCCAACAGACAGGCAGGATGCAGCCAGGCAGGAAGTATAGGTAGGGCTACCAGACTAGGAGAATGCTGGGAAGAGAGTGAGTCACCAGTGAGATGCCATGTAGCTACCGGGAAGGAAGGACACCTGGGCATTCTCTGGTAAGCCAAGACCATATGGAGATACATAGATTAATAGAAATGGGTTAATAATTAAGACAGAGAGAGAGGGAGAGAGAGAGAGAGAGAGAGAGAGAGAGAGAGCTGAGCCATAGGCCCAACAATTTATAATTAATGTAAGCCTCCTTGTGCTTATTTGGGACTTAATGGCTGTGGGACCAGGCAGGACAGAGACTTCTGTCCACAGAAACTGGACTGTCTAGAAGGATTCTACCCAGAGCCCTATGAGGAGCTAACAGAGAGCCTCTGGGGGGCAAAAGGTTGGATTTTGCTTTTGTTCCTGTCCCCTGAACTTCTAAGAAGTGCTTAGTCTTGGCTTATTGAATATTTGTTGAGTTGATGTAATTGGAGGTTTCCACAAAAAGAATGAGGCTCATTATTGTCATTATAAATTTCCTATAATTTACTCATAGGCTTTTGGCATTAATTGTCATAGAGGAAACGAAAGAGGAGCCTCCTCATTGTCAACCAATGATTGGCTAGAACAAAGAGATAAATAACTGAGGTGGGGCCCAAGCACTCCTTTGAATACTGTTTGAGGAGGAGCAAGCCGTTGTTCCGTGTCAAGGCCTACTCCACGGGGCTGGTTCACATCCTCTTAGTTAAATCTCCTTATGACTCAGCAAAATAGTCTCAATTGTGAGTCTCAGATCATGCATGAAGCAAATTGATGTTTACTTGTCCAGATGTAGACTTAAGAGTTAAACTTGGGCAGAAATCCAGCTCTTAGCCACTAAACCATTGTGACACACAGACACTGATCTCTCCTTTCTGTAGATCTAGAAAACAGTTTGTCATTACAGACGATTAATATTTGAACCATGCTCCATATAAACATGTGAGAGTCCTGGATATGGGATATGCATTTATTCTGGGCTGTGTGCATACACCCAATCAATTTATCCAGACAGGTCCAGATCTCTGGGCTAGTGTTCTTTAAACTGCCAAGTACTTTTGATGAGTTTTCTCCCTCTGCAAGTCTGTCTATTTCATATTCCAATGCATGGGTTTTAGCCCTCAACTTGAGGACTCAGTAGAAGCCAAGGGAAGGGGACCCTGGCAACCACAGCACTTGGCTCAGTAGAAGCCAAGGGAAGGGGACCCTGGCAACCACAACACTTGGCTCGCATGTGCTCGTGAGAGCTGTCCGTTGAAAAGAAGCTATCCTAGCAAAAGAAAAGGACTGACCTCATTTCTATTGTTTTAATGTGCACATGAAAACCAATATGAGTCTTTTTTGCTTATATAAACCAAAGGCCTGGGACAACCCTCAGTAAAGAGACAAAGGCAAACAAGAGCCATATCCTATTTCTCGGCACACTGGACACAATTGGATCTTAGTGGAATGCCTTCCATGTGTGACCTTTATGCAGAAATTTATTCTCTCTGGCTGTTTTCCCCAGACATTCAAATCACATCTTCTCTGGGACTATATCCATGGGTCTGGCTGCTCTATGACTTCATGAAACATCATAATTGGGCAAATTTCAGTGGTTCTCATTCTGTTTAATTTTAGATGAACCATATGGAACTTGACAAAAGATAAACAAAACTGGGTGCCCCTGGAGAGAGGGCACTTCTGGTCCTCGTAAAGAATTGAGATCTGTCCTTGATCTCTAATAGTATTTTGTAGTTTATAACTAGAAAGTATTTTTCTTTTACATTGTATTTTTGTGATAGAGAAGGAAACCTATGTATTTGAAGTAAAAGTTTTAAGTTAACACTTCACTTTAAACCTGCATCAATAATGTACTCAGAACTGTGATGAAAGTTTATCCAGGAGAATGACATGGCTGTGGAGTTAGGGCGAGCCAAGGCTTGAAGTTCCCAAACATAAAAGGGTTGCCTCACTTCTATGAGTTTTTTATTTCTCATCTACACAGAGAGCATATGGAACCCTTTGTAAGGCCCGAGGTTGTGGAAAATGTATGTGAGCCACACCAGTCACTGGTTCCTCATTTAAGGAAGACAGCTCAATGTGTGGGGCTATCTGAAACAACCTTATTAAAACAAAGCCAACTAGCACATACGAAAGTTACCTTCGATGTGCTGGGAAGACACCTCCACTTGGCAGGCAATCAGCTTTTAATGCAACTGAAACAGGAGAAGAAATTGTGAAGTTGTGTGCAGGCTGCCAGGCCTGTGGGCTGTGCTGGGTGGAGCTGTGGATGGGAGTAGACCCTGAAAGGCACTGTTGATCGAGCAGCACACTGCACACAATGCTATGGATCTGCTTGCCGTGAGTTAGGAACTTCTGTAGCAGCTGGAATCACTTGCCAGTTATTAGCAATTCTCTTCACTGACAGCATGGACTTGATGGAAATCTACACAGACTATTAAACATGGGCTTTGGAGCTTAGGTCTGCCCTGCACTCACCTCCCCTATCTTCTCCACCAAGGAGCACAGGGAAGTCATTATCAATTCATTCTTTGTGAATCACATTTATTCACAATGACTTAGTCATTTTTATGGAGGGAAGCATCCAACAGCAATAGTTTGGTTGCTCAATTTCTCATACACTTGAGTACTTTAAATGAGGAAATTATTCTTTAGAGAGTCAGTATGTTAAATATTTCTGATGCTTTAGAAGCACCAGAATATTGACTATTATTTCAGTTTGCCTTGCTGCTCCCATTCTGTAGTTTTTTGAAGAAAAAAAAAGCCCAACAAACAAACAAACAAAAACCCCAAACTTCAGTTAAAGACAGACAATGAATTTCTGGGTCTGAAATACCATTTTTATATTAGACAGTCCAAAATGGAAACAATATTTTTCTTTTTGACAAAAAACTACATAAGACACCTGACATCTTGTATCTAAATAATTTTATGCTAAAAAGATAAAGTAGCCTGATTTCACATCTTCTCAGATTTGAGGTAAAGGGGTTTCTTTTTATGCTTTATTTTTATTATTTACATGTATGGGTGACCTGCCCACATGTAAGTCTGCATACATGCAGTGCCTGTGATGGCCAGAAGAGGGTGTCAGATGCCTGAAATTGAACTTACAGGCTGTTGTGACCCTCCATGTGGATGCTGGGAATTGAACCCTGGTCCTCTGGAAGAGCAGCCAGGGCTCTTAACCTCTGAGCCATCTCTCCAGCCCTTGAGATGCAGTCTTAAGGGCACACTCTTGCTAGAACATGGTTTGTGGACACAAGGAGTCACAGGACCCTTCCACCCCAGGTCCTGTTCTGTTCTTGGTCTGTGTGGCCAGGTCCGTTGCACACAGCAGGCTCACCGCAGCAGCTGCAAATCACACTGCCCACTTAAGCTCCTTCTGGAAGGCCTGCATTGCAGGCTAACGGTCACTCTCTTTTCTTTTAATGAAACTCCTGTTCTTGCCCTGTTCTTGTCTCTTCATTATCAGTCAGAATCACAAGCAAAAGGACCAGATGGCAGGATGTTCTGCTGCTAATTTTAAATGATGCTGAATGTATTTCCCAAGTGATCACTTTATTTTTCTTGCTGTGAAAAGCCAAAGCCTGGAGCTGGAAAGATGGCTCAGGGGAAACATGTGCTTGCTGCCAAGGCTGGTGACCTGAGTTCAGTCTCCAGGACCCACAGTGTAGGAAAGAATCAACTCTCTTGAGGTGTCCTCCAAACTCCACATGCAGAGTGGTATGTACTCCCTCAAACCAAAGTGTAAAAGAGGCAAAGCCAAAGCAAGAAAATAAATAAACACAAAGCTTTGCCCCTCCCCCACTTAAAGAGTTTGTTATTTGATAGCATCCAGTGGTAAGTACACCAAAATAAAAACATTCCTGTCTAAGTATTTATCTGTCCAACTAATCATCTGTCTAAACAAGAAGGCGGAGGCTCACACAATCCTTTTAAATGCTTCTTTTATTTCATTGGTTGTACATTGGGTGAGTGAACTGAATATTACAACCAAAACATAGAATTGATACAAATTAGACTCCCGTTTACACTGTAAGATAACGAATGGGGAATTCTTTAAGAAGTGTTACGGAAAGGTTTAGCAGAAGGTGACCGGTGGCATGTGACTGAAAGAACACGTCTGTGAAGTGCTGTTACACCCTGAAAACCAAGAGTGAAATGGAGTCCTGTACAAGTGAAGTTAGTTTCCTAACGGCTGTAGCTGTTGGACTGACATCTTCCTGTCTTGGATATTGGTGATTTTTTGTTTTTTTTTTTTGTTTTTGTAATTAAACAAAGCATTTAAGATTTATTCATCATAGTCAGACTTCTGAATATAAACAAACTTTTGGCAAATAATATTTATACAGAAAAATAGTTTTAGATCCTCTCAAATCCCAGAATTATTCTATAAAATTACATTATAAATAAATAAAAAGCAAAATCTGTTGTACATATATTTGTACATCTATGCATTTGCCTTGCCTCCTCCTTATTGTAAATGGCATATTTGACTCTCTGCATATTATAATCACAATTCTGGAAAATGGATATCATAGTAAAAAATACAGTCATCTCTATTTGCTGGGGGATACAGGTGATGTTTTTGATGCTCCATTATTAAAGGGCTGAAAATATCTATGTGTTAATAATTTTTAAAATAAAAATCATGAAATGAAAGGAAAAAAAAGACAGTTACAACAATTAGTCTACAAAAATAGTTCAGTGACTCCCATAATTTACCTTTTAGTAATGTCTACTGTCTTCTCAATGAGTTTAAATGAATAAGCAAAGAAAAAAAATAAACAAGTATGAGTGTTTTAGGCAAGTTGTAGCATAACTACATCGTTATAACTGAGAAAGTTACATGGATCAATAATACACAAAGATGAAAACTATCAAAGTGATACAAGTTAGATACAATACCTCTCCACAAATTAAAACAAACACTATACAAGCACTATGCAAGATTATACTCAGAATGTGATTTTTCTTTTGTTACAGTTATCAGGTCTATGATGTAAGATAAATAGATAGCAATTAGACTTTGACCAACATGAATTAAATGCAGATTTTTTTCTCAATCAAAAAATTGATATGGTTGATGCCTCTAGTTTTTAGAACAGGCGATGATACCAAAATTTAAAATATTTTACATTCAATCTCAAAAGTCAAAATACTTCAATCACTAAAATGTCCACAAAGAAAAATGGATGTTTTAAACAATTACACATAATATCCATTTATAACAGCTGTTTCATTTCTTAAACAATAATTTAAAAACTACGTAGGTACTGTGTAGGCTATGTGCAACATATAAAATGTGAAATATGAAATATTTGGTACGATAGTGCTTAAAATAAACTTTAAAACAAACTTTCTGAACAAAATTTAATTGTATCGCTATTACCTTGAAGATCAACCAAGTATTTAAAAAAGTAAACAACATTAAAATATGTTTCATTCATATATAGTATATATATGTATGTGTATATATAATATGTATGTACTTGTATTAAAGTTTTTTATACTTTTGAGACATAAAATATGCTTTAAGGTGAAAGAATTAAAAGAACTATTTTTTCCATGCTGTAGTTAGTTACAACCCCTTAATCCAACTTTTGAAATGCAAAAACAGTAATGGATATTTTAAAAAGTGAAACTATCTACTTCTGTTTTGTTTACATAGTAATTTAGATTAAAGTCACAGTTTGCATCTGTAGTGACTAAACTCAGACATACTTAAACTGGAATATTATACAGACCTCCCCACCTACAGCTTCCCTGTTGGACTAGGTTTTAGTTTAGAAGAGCTATTGGGGAACAGGCAACCGGAGGGCGAGTTTGAAAGACCAATCCCTTAGATTCAACTATTGGCATGAGCCTTTCAATTCTTGTCAAGCTGGATGAAGTCTGGCAAAATCTAGGCACTTCTACAAAGTCTCTCTTATAAAACAACTTTAAAAATATACTTGTAAAATAATACCTTCAAGACTTTGTTGGGTGGGTATGAAGCTCATACCGTGCAAAGTTTTTTTTTTTTTTTCAATCTATGCAATGTTATTCTAGAATCCCATGATTCAGTGCGGCATCTCCAGGCAAACCGAATCCCACACTCTGATGTGTCCCCAGCAATTGTGCTTGAACTGCCATTCAAATTTTAGACCTGCCAGGCAGGTATCTGTTTTACTTCACTTCTTGTCTTTGCTGCAGCGTTCATCTTGTCAAGAAGTGAACCATACCCTTTGATCCAGTCAGGAAATGAAATGACGGTGATTGGAGTTAGGATCGAACCTGCCCTTGGAATAAGTACTTAAACTAATGCTAACTGTTTATTGCTAAATTTGAAATATTCTGAGTCGAAATGAGTCTATTGGCTGTACTTTCTGCATCGGCTATAGTTACGGAGATAAGACAATATTCCTAGGGACAGAAACTATGCTTACAACCCTGGGAAAGAAAACCTCATCCTTTGTGTCTTTGAACATTGCAGCTGGTCTCAGGTAGTTATCTATCTTAGGCTGGAATATACTAAGCATACCATATTTAATACTCATATATGACATAGTGGAACTAGCCTTAGGGTGGTGGTCTCTCCAGAAGAACTAAGTTTAGCATGCAGTTTGTGGCAATTCTATCGTGGAGGAAACAGGATAGTATGTACAGTAACAATGTTTAGTTATTCTCAATGCAGATTCTTGGCATTCCATCCCGTTTCTGTTGATTATTTCAGAATTATCTGTTAAGGGAAAAGACAAGTGCAATTTAGACTCTCTGCAGGGAAAATAATGAGTACAATTCTTATTCTCTGCAAAAAGATACTTGACAATACAGTGATCTCCGATTTCTCATAATTCTGATACAACCATGAACTTTGCAAAATTTCTGTCCTTCTTGCTGAGGGTTTTCACACTTAGCCATTTCTTCTGTGTGGTTGTGGTAAGGAATGATGACTCAAACACACAGCGCTTTCGTGACACCATGACAGCATGTATGTGCCTGCTTAGACCTCAACCTCTTAAATCATTTTGCTTCATATTTCTATTGCTGTGTGTTCCTGTGACTATCAAACTGATGTTTGCTCTGGCAATCAGAAAGTCTAGTCAGAGAATTCATTCTTTGGAAGTTGTCTATGATCTTGCCTATAAGTATCTAAGATTTAGTCATATAGCTTAACTGTTGACTTATAATCCAAAGATATAGTCTTATCAAACATAATCTTGTTACCAAGATATAACAGCAACCAGTTTCAAATGCAGGATATGCTTAAATGTCACAGTAGAGAGAAAAAGGTTAACAATTAGTTAAGCAGTTAAAATACTCTTAATAAACCCAAAAGCATAGATAAAGCTCACGCCAGGCTTTAACAGCTTACTATTAAATCTGAGCTATGGTCCTCGGAGTTAATCTTCAAGGTCCCCATCCCTGTTTTTGCATTACTGGATTTTGAACGCTGGGCCTTGCACATGCTAGGCAAATACTCTGCCACCAAGCTAAATCCCTAGCCCACATCACATCCCTTTCTAGTTCCATGCATTTGTAAAGGTGAGGGAGTTTGCCTGTGTGGTCTACACCACTAAATACCAAGCTTGTATGTAAAAATTCATCAAAAGCATTTGTTCTTTGTGCAATGTTTTGACATACCTTTGCATAATTAATGAACAGAAATTTATTTGGTAAAATAGCCAAAAATCTCTAAAAAATAGCTGATGAAACCAAGCATGGTGAATATCAGCTAATATTGGTACAACCAGGCTTCGATCCCCAGGAAAAGCATCATTTCTATAAATGTAATTCATTATCCTGCTATGTCAGAGTTCATGCATTATGGATATTTTTCCTTTGAGCATACCAATAGTTCATATATAATATTTTTAGTGTGTTTAAGTTATCACATGTCCATCCTTTATTGAGGCATACAGATGTAATATTTTTTAGTATGTTAAGTGGTAACACGCCCATCTTTTACTTCACTGAGCCATACAGACGTGTACTGAACTGATGAAAATGGGCTGATCTACAGAAAATATTTATGGGAAAGTTCAAAACTTCAGATACCAAGCTTATTCATTTAAGACTTATTTGCTTATTTCTACTTAAATGGATGCAAGTGTGTCTGTGAGTAGTGATGCTACAGTGGGCGGTTCCCAGCGAGGGTGCTGGGTGTTCTGAACAGCCCAACTAGGGTGCTGGGAACCAAACTTGGGTCCTCTGAAAGAGCAGCAAATGCAGCTAACCAATGAGTATCTCTCCAGCCCATACCCTATTTTTGTTCTTAAAAAGATTCATTGGAATTTGAAGCTAATTTGGAAAACAGAATTCCTTGTTTAATATTTTAGTAGATGTGAATAAGAACAACAAATGGTTTTTATATGGAGATACTATCACAGGATCTAGTATGGGAATGCATTGTCTCTGAATGACACCATTATAGTTAGGTGATATTTAGATTCTCCAAATAGCTAGATTATTACTTTTTAAAAAGATTTAGATAGTTATTAAATAGAATTTCTTCTATTTCACCCCCGAGCTTCCATGCTATCTGTAAAACAGGACTATTTCCTATTAGGAAGGTTGAGAACACTGCTGTAGGGTGAAGTGTCCCTTGGAAATAGAACATTAAGGTGATGAACAGCAGCCAGCCAATGCCATTCACTTTAGAACTGTCCCTTTGGTCACTGTTTCTGATTTTAGGACACACATATCTGTCAGACATCAAATCATGTCCTATTTGCCCCCCTATTTTCTCTTACTCTAGCAAGAGATCCTGAAAGATTTAGGGATCTCCTAGTTCTTTCGACAAACATATAATAATGTATGTTTCAAAAATGCACAGCCCTGCTTATTGGCTGAAATGAAAAAGCCAGACAGAATGAAATTTACAAACATCCGGAAATACAGGCACCCCACAGAAAGCCCGGTAAAATGAGGATGGGTGGATTTGCAGTACAGACATTTACAATGCTTCCAACTTGTGTGACAAAGAGAAAACTGAGCAGCTGGACTGGAGATCGGTTTCAATGTTGTAAATAAAAGTTGCCTAGATTCACCCAGGCGACCTTTCCCATTCTGCCCAGCCCATGCCAAAGCCGAAAGTGGGTTCCGGTGGTGTTGAAGTTGTGACTGCTACCGTGAATCCAGACCAGAAAACTGGCTGTTCAGGGCTGTGCCTTTGTCTATCTGTGCAATGCATGTGTTGGATAAGAAAGATGAGACACACTCAGCTGTGGACTTCAAGAGGTTCCAGAACTGGACCTTAGGGGTCAGGAAAGCATCAGCTTTGCTCCTTAGAAGTCCCAGGTGTAGGCAGAAACATTATTTCATGAAAGTATTACTTATTGTTCATTTTTTTTTTTCTGGGAACTCTAACTCTTGGGACTGTCTGAATGAAGGACACCCTAGGACTGTGGTCAAATATCCCGCATATCAGGTATTTGCATTACGACTCATAAAAGTAGCAAAATTACAGTTATGAAGTAGCAACAAAATAATTTTATGGTCGGGGGTCACAACATGAGGAACTGAGCTACAGGGTCACAGCATTGGGAAGGCTGGGGACACTGCTCTAGGGTGACGTGTCCCTTGGAAGTAGAACATTAAGGTGATGACCAGCAGCCAGCCAACGCCACTCCCTTCAGAACTGTCCCTTTCGTCACTGTTTAACCAACACCCTCCCTTCAGAACTGTCCCTTTCGTCACTGTTTAACCAACGCCCTCCCTTCAGAACTGTCCCTTTTGTCACTGTTTAACCGACGCCACTCCCTTCAGAACTGTCCCTTTCGTCACTGTTTAACCAACGCCACTCCCTTCAGAACTGTCCCTTTCGTCACTGTTTAACCAACGCCCTCCCTTCAGAACTGTCCCTTTCGTCACTGTTTCTCATGTTAGGAGACATAAAACTCTGAGATCTGTGTGTGTTGGGGTCGCTGCAGGAAATAGGAGGAGGGGAGCGTGTGATGGACAGGAGGGGACAGGGGAGGCCTGTGTGTTTGAGGGTGCTGCAGGAGGCCGGGAAGAGGGTGTCAGGAACTTCTCTTCAGTTTCTGACCGTCTTTCCTTCAATCAAATTGTATTTTTAATTGATGCTAAAGGGATACAATTTAAAGACGAATAGGTACATTTTGTGCTGTTCTACAGACTTGCCCCAGAGATTTCCTTCTATACCATCTGTATAAACACTACACCTTCAGCTCTCACTCTCTCTCCACTATTCTACGTGATAGTTTTTATACCCAGATGGACTGAAGGCTTCAGAGGTGCCTGGACATTAAATATGGGTACAAGTCATATTCTTAAAGTACTAGGCTTATAGGTGCTATACACGACAAATCTTGTGTGAACACAACCTAGTTTTGAGTTTGTACATTTAAAAGTGATTAATTACAATATCAGGATTACAGAGATGGCTGATCGGGTAAGAGTGCTTCTAACTCTTTCAGAGGACCCTAGTTTTCATGAGCACTCATGTCTGGAGGCTGACAACCTTCCTGTAACTCCAGCTTCCGGGGACCTGATGCCTCTTGTCATCACCCTCTCTGGGAAGTTTCACTCACATGAGCAGACACATAGACAGAGACACACAGACACACGTACACACACGTACACACACGTACACACACACACACACACACACACACACACACACACACACACACACTACAACACACATAGAGAAAAACAAAAGAAAAACAAACTTTTAAAACAGCCCATCAAATTTAAGCACAACAGATCAATGCCAGCGATTTCTTTTCTGCCTTGGTACCAAGCTGCCTATTTTAAGGCACTGTAGGCCACACATTCTTGGAGGAGGTAATTGAAAACCTTCATTAGGTCTGCAAGAGTCTATGTGCAAATTAAATGGAGAGCTAACCTGTCAGTTCTCCTGAAGGGCCTTCTCTGTTTCTGCCGAGTTTTAGTGTTTACACTCTTGATTTTTCAGTAGGCTCTGAGAACATCTACCAGATATGAGCCTAATGTGTGATGCAGCCAGATTTTGCAGAGAAGGAAGTCTGTGCAGTATTAACTGGCTTGCACACACCAGATATTTGCTAACTTTGCCTTGGCACGAGAGTTCTCTTCAGGGCATGAAAGTCAGGTCAGTCAGTGTACAGTCAGACCAGTCAGTGTACAGTCAGACCAGTCAGTGTACAGTCAGATCAGTCACTGTACAGTCAGGTCAGTCAGTGTACAGTCAGGTCAGTCACTGTACAGTCAGATCAGTCAGTGTACAGTCAGGTCAGTCAGTGTACAGTCAGATCAGTCAGTGTACAGTCAGGTCAGTCAGTGTACAGTCAGATCAGTCAGTGTACAGTCAGATCAGTCAGTGTACAGTCATGTCAGTCAGTGTACAGTCATGTCAGTCAGTGTACAGTCAGATCAGTCAGTGTACAGTCATGTCAGTCAGTGTACAGTCAGATCAGATAGTGTACAGTCAGACCAGTCAGTGTACAGTCAGATCAGTCAGTGTACAGTCAGATCAGTCAGTGTACAGTCAGGTCAGTCAGTGTACAGTCAGATCAGTCACTGTACAGTCATGCCAGTCAGTGTACAGTCAGATCAGTCAGTGTACAGTCAGGTCAGTTAGGGTACAGTCAGATCAGTCACTGTACAGTCAGATCAGTCAGTGTACAGTCAGGTCAGTCAGTGTACAGTCAGGTCAGTCAGGGTACAGTCAGGTCAGTCCCAGTCAGGTCAGACAGTGTACAGTCATATCAGTCAGTGTACAGTCAGGTCAGTCAG